ACTGGAAAGGAAGTTCAGGCAGTCAGCTCCACTGCCGAACATTTTGGGATTCCTTCCATTGGTCATGTCTTTGTAGTGAGGCGTCATACACTCGTACTGTTGTACACCCACAGACATCATAAACAAATCTGGACTTGTCATGCCTTTGTTCAGAATAAAGCCACAGGCAGCCATTTTATTTACTGTGCCAAATACAAAGGTGATGATTGGCTCACTTGCTGTTGTAAGTATTGATGCCATGAACAAATTTTGGCTGGTGAGCAAGCTTTTGTATTACCTTTGTATCTGGCACAGTAAGATGGCTGCCAGTGGCTTCATTGACCTCTTCATGCTGATTAAACCATCACGGGTCCAGATATGAAGTTTGTGTATATGCATCAGGCACAGATCATCCCCAAGAGTAGACATACGAGACATTTGGACCGTCCTTTGACCAATCTGTCTGAAACATGCACATGCATATAAAGTAATCCTTTATAAGAAAGGCATATTTGAGAGGTTTGCAATTCAGTCCTTCAAGTCAGCTCAAGCTGTGCGCTCTGTCTATGGGAAAGTTGAAATACAGGTATGTTGTCTACCTGTATTGAAAAATTGAAATCGTTTTGTCCCATGTTGATAACATCATGTTCAAATGACTCATCACACTCGACCACATTTATCATCAAACAAACTATTTAGGCAAACTGACTAGGTACTCAAGAAGTTCCCCGGGGGGGATTTGAACCTGTGGTCTCCGGAGCACCAGTACCGATGCTCTTCCAACTGAGCTCTCCAGCCCAATGTTGGCTGCTTTTCCCATTTGTCAGTATTCTTGTTCAGGGGTGCTAGTCAGAGGCTATAAAACCTGAAACACCATGTAGCCAGCCTAAGCCAAGGATCTCGCCCCAATGACACAATGCAACCTGAGAAGTGGTGAACAGGGGATCACTCGGAAGGATAGGGCTTTTGAAACACAAATCACCAAACAACTCATGTAGGGAAACTACATGTAACTAGGTGCTGTTTTGCATTGCATTGATATCTTGAAGAATGTACATGGATTCAACACTCCCAGCTCGTTTAGGGTTAAAGTTGATCAGATATTACAACTTCCTCTCTCAGATCTGGCCGTGGCTGAGGTGCGGGAGTGCATGAAGGAGGAAACCAGGGTGGCCCTGGCGAATCTGAAGAACCAATTGGAGGCTGAGAAGCAGGATGAGATCCGCAAGACCAAGACCAAGCAATGGGTGAGAGCACGGGGGATTGAGGTGGGGGGTGGGATGGGGTGACAGGAACTGATGGGGAAGAGGAATAGGGTTAAGGGCATCCCTCCCCAACCTCCCAGCTCACAGGTCAGAATTCCAAGAATGACCAGACATGAGGCATTTATATTGTTTGGAATTCATGTACAAACCCACTGGAATCCTTTCTGTAGAAATTGAGGAGTTCCCCCTCCACTCACAAGTGTACAATGTACATGTAAGTTTGACCAAAGATCAGATTTAGATTTCTACCTCCAAGATTCTTGATTTTTCCTTGTGATTTTTCACTTTGCTACTGTACATATTAAAAAGCCCAGACAAGTCATAGTATCTTGATGTGGTTATTGTTATAATGCCTCTGTCTGGTGTGTTGTAAACAGTAGCCTAGCTGATGAAGGCGCAGACTAGCTGAATGTAAAGGCCTGGAGAATTTTCAAGCAAATTCAAGGTTGGAGATTATCTTCCTGGTGATCATTCCTCTTCTATGGCCGCTCAATCAGAATATCTTCCTTAGGTTCATGTAAATTGAGGGGATGTGCTAGCTGGTCATCTACAGAAAGAGAATAGTGGCCACGCATCAGTACAGTCGTCAAAGCTGTAATGAAACACTTTCTGTGTGTGCACTTTTTACCCTGTTGAAGATCAAGGCAGTAAAGCAGATAATAAATGCAAAATTATCATGATGAAAATAATTCTGTAGTGCATTTGGACCTAAGTGACCTGTAAAGTAATGGCATCGCACTTTGCTTTTCCATGGCAACCAGGTGGGATGCGATCCGTCAAGCTCCCATGGGAAAGTGCACATAAACAGAGTGTGACAGCATTATGTTTCAGGTCTGTCACACCAAACTGCACTTCATTAAGGAATTAATTATAACTGAATTATTACCAGTATTGTTTTCTCACCTTTTGCGATAGTGTGCCAACTGCGGCAAGGACGCTGTGTTCTTCTGTTGCTGGAACACCAGCTACTGTGACTACCCCTGCCAGCAGAGCCACTGGTCCCAGCATCGCAACACGTGCCAGCAGCGCTCACTGGGGAACACCGCTACACAAGTGCAGCAAGCACCTAGTAAACCACAGCAGGTATGTATCCATTCCTTCCTCACACATACCTATTCTGTAATTATGTGGAATTCACTCGTATTAAAATTTATTGATGTTGTTGGGACTAATGAAGTTATGGGGACAAATGTTTGTCCCCACAATTGGTGCTAACATTTCTAGTACTTACCTCCAACTCTCCAGTTTCTGGTCAGTGCGCGCTAAATAAAAAAGGTTTTATTTTGGTATAATATACTATGTCCAAAAGCTACCAAACTTGCTTGATCGACTGGAATCCTGCTACTGCATAATTTTAATGTGTTTTAGATGGGGTACGGTTGAGTAATATGTACAGTTAAGGAGTTCCTCTAGGCCCCCATACATTTAGTTGGGCACTCTTTTTCAGATGACGTCAATTCTGTATTAAACATTTACATCTGGGAACCAGACAAACAAGGTGGTCTTATGTGCATCTACAAGTTTAATATGCTTTTCAACAGGAAGTAGTGAGGGGGCCATTCTATTTCAGTGTTGGTAGTGGCAGGACGTACGCATGTACATCTACATCATTTCTTGGGGAAAAAAGCGTTGTCGCACCACTTCTGAATCCAGCCCCTGACCAGAAACCGGAGACTTTGGGGGGGCTTGGGGTTTGTTTTGTTACTTGACCATCAACTCTTTGTCTAACCTGACTTTACACAATTCACTGAACCCACTTTGCCAGCTATCCGCTTCCAACAAGAGTATGTTTGGACATAACAATGACTGTCCTTTGGTGGAAACAAACTGCTTCCACACTTAGCATGGCACATGCTGAGCATTTGCCACCAACTCACAAGCCACCAGGGTATGGTCTTTCTGTGTCAGCTGTCTGTGATCACGAGCCAAGTTGAAAAACTTTGTACCATCCTGCCTGTTCTTTGCTGGTGAGGGTACACTTCAACTCTTGTTGGATATTGGTCCATGGCTCACGTCCCTGAAAAAGGCACAAAAGTCACTAGATCACTTTTTGGAGTACACATGAGGACTGTTTCTGAGATGTTGATAAGAACAGTTTCTTAAGGTCACAGATGGTATGGAACAATTCATTGTTAACAGGTCCTGCAACAGCATGTTCCATTTCACAAGGCGTGTAATGTAATATTTCGTCTGTCACTGGAAGGGATCATGATGGAAAAATTCATGAGATGCTTTCATACAATGTTTGAATGAATCTTGACTAAATTTCTGCATCATCTAAATAAAACCTGTGTGTCAGAAGTACAGAAATTTCTCGTGATCAAGTTTGGTTTCTGAAGGAATGGAACTTTCCATTATTTATAGTGCAGCCTTGTTCTGCATTGGATGTGTATTTAGTCAATTTGACATTATAAAGGATCCACTTGTGAATTGACAGGAATTGATGCATTGCATAATTCCTAAGTTTCATAAGTGAAAGTTCAGGCTAAGTCAATTCAAATGATTGAATTTTCCAAATTGACACCAATTTCAATTGTATAGTCAGCTGTTCCAAGTTCCTACAATTACAGAAACAAAATACATATTTGTATATTAAATAAAAAGAAATACTCCAAAGAAAAGTAAGATTTGGTGTGAACATGGGCACATGCATTCTGCTGTCTTTACATTTACTTACATATCTGGAAGTACGCTTTTAGAATCCAATTTTGTAACCACATAATGTATTCTCCCCTTTTTTATTTCATTGATTTTCACCTCTGAACAATTGATTTTGAAAATAAATATTTGAATATATTAATGTCAATGATCAAATATACCAGTAAGAGCATTCAAATTGGCATAGCCATAGTGAAACTATGGACCAAAAGCAACATAAAGGTGTGGGCGATCGTTAGGGCTGAGTCAATTCGAATAATTCACTATTCGAATATTCAACCTCTAATTCGATATTCAAATATTCGGTCACACTGACAGGCAGATTGATGATAAACAAACCATGTACAAAACCAGTTGCAATAATGCACACAATTGTACATATAACCACTATTATAGCTTTTCTCATCTAGGAGTGTTTCCAGCCACGATTTAGCAAAATTTAAGAGACGAACAATACTTCTTGCCCCGTTGACAATTTCTATTCCTTTTAAATTTTTTGGTGATTAATTTACTTTTTGAATCGTGAGATTTCTCTCACTTTTCATTTGAATCTACTGGAAACAAGCCTCCACAATGTAATTTTTCTCACTTAAAACGAAACAAAAGTTTCCCTTCCTTTTCATGAATATTCTGATATTGGGCATAGCCCTAGATTGTCAATATTTTCCCAAGCTTTTTATGCTGGGATTGATTTTGCCAGCCCCCTGGATAACAGGGTAAAGCACTACATACCAGTACAGACCCTCAGGAGGGGTCATTTTCTCTCACCGGCTGAAGTGAAAAACTTGAGTACCGTGTTACAAAAGTCTGAAAAGTTAATAATCTAGGCCCTATTGTTTTCTGCTGTTACCCGTCTGATCTGCAAGTAGTTCTGTTCTGGAATGTACAAAGAAGTAGAATTGTTTTTCCATGTTTTCAATCAGATACTTGAAATTGTGGGTTGCGAGAGGAACAATGAGATCCAGATCGTTGAAAAATAAATGAAATGCTCAGTAGAAACCTCGAAGAAGCAATGAAAGCACACTCCTTTTTTAAAAAAATATAGCAAAGTACTTCTTACTATGGAATACAGATTGTACATGTATGTTAAACTGATAGCATTACATTGGCGTCAGTGAATTTTCATTTAATGTATGACCTTGTTGAACCTTAATGAACAGGACATTTCATGTCAGTTAAAACCTTTCTTTTCTTCTCTTGTTGTTGGACTTAGTCTTCAAATGGCGACCAATTCTGTTGATTGTCTAATATTGATTTAGCATGACTAGGCAATTCCATAAATAGATCTTCAGAATGTACAGGTACAGTCCCATGCACCACTTTTCCAGCCTGCAATTTTTTTGGAAATATGAGCCCAGACTAGTTTACCCTGAACCTTTTCAGTTCATTGTTGAATTGTCAACGTGTATGACAAATTCACCATGAATCAGCCATTCTCGTTCATCAACCTTTTCAGGAACAAACTTGTGTGTGCGCCATGTGCCTCTCCACCAAAATGTTTATTTCTGCCAGATTTGCTCGGCCTTGACACTTTGGTGTCCTGTTTGGTCAAAATGTTGTTCCCAGCACAGCAAGTGGGCCATTGTCCAATTTTTTTGGTTCGTCGATTTGCATGAGTTGTTAACGTTTGGTCTTCCCCAGCGCAGCTTTTGGCTGACAGAGTTCAGTGGCTCACTGGTATTGTTGAAGGCAGCTGTGCATCTATCAGAGCACTGTTGGCTTGTGAATAACAACAAAAAGAGCACCGGTGAGAGGAGTGTACAGAGCCATTTGTGGTGCGCGTCGCAATGGCATCCAGGAGGAAAAACATCCTTTCATTCAGAAGTTTGCCTCTGGGAACCCGGAAAGAGAGGAGGCAAAAAATGGAAGACCATCTGTGGGAGTTGAATTATGATAAACTCTGAAGACCAAAAGATTAGAAGCAAAAAGGGTTGATCTGTGTGACTTCTGGCTGGCTTTCTGTAGATACCGGTTCATGTACTCGCTTGACAATGCCAAACACAATTTACCTTTTTGTCTGGCTTTGGTTCAAATATGACAGCTGTGCATTCAATTAGCGTCATACCTGTATAAAAGCAATACATCAATACTCAAGCGCAAAGAGTGACAGGCCCGGAGTCCAACTCTTTGAAACTGACAACAATGTGTTACTTTATTGAGGGCAATTTCATTTCTATAATTGGATGACTTACCTTAAAAGGTCACACCTCAGATTATGCTGGAAGATTTGAAACTCAATAAAAATCTGGTCTTTTTTAATCAGAAAAGCCCAGAGAGTATGTCATTTGCATGTATGGTACATGCCGTACACATATAGTACATGGTTGAGTAATCAATGAAAATACAAGCTAGTCACAGCAGTTCAAACAGATGTGCAGTGTGCTCACAAACAGTTTAGGAGGAAAAGTACAGGCCTATCGTATTTTGACATAATTTGTCATTTTAATCTGGGAACAATGTGCTGCCGGCAAACGTCAATTTGTTTATTCTGTTGTTTTTTCCAACCCCCCTGACCATTGTCTAATCACATGCTGATACCCCATCTGCTACGAATACACGAATTGCCTGGACTGTCAATTCTAGAGTCAGATCAACTCTTTTGAATCCAGAGTTATCACTCGCCATGCCCAGCTGTTCAGAGTTGTGGCGTGTTTGCTTGTTAACAATTGAATTTGTAATTATGGGAAAGAGAATCGTATCCGTCTAGCTACAGTTGGAAGTTTATGCTGCTTCTGGTTTACACAATTCTGAAGAAATGATACGGACAATTTTGAAAAGATTTCTCTGTGTGGGAGTTCCTTCGAAATCTGACATTTGGTTATTAAGCTTTTTTTCCTGGCTTTTGTACAGTTCAGGACACGCATGTCAGTGCATTCTGGCCCAAAAAATAGACGTAGTACATGTACCCTACATGTACATGTACATGTCTTTCTGACAAAAAATGGACATGTACCAGTTGTGAACGTGTACAACATGTACATGTATGTAACCTGATCAAAATAAAGTATACAAATCTGTACTTGCCAAAAAAGGACACGTATTCCATTCACATGGACATCGTACATGAATGTTCCGGGGGGCAAAATACTTATGTTACTTTAATTAACATGTTTAACAGGAAGTCTAACCTCTGGTTTAAAATCTCATTGTTTTAAGCAGACATGTATAAATTCAGTTCTAAGCATATAGGCATGTGTATTACTGTCTGTATTGTGTTTAAATCTGTCTTTAACACGCGAGTCTGTTTTCCATTCAGTGGTGCTAGTTATTATGTACAGTAAATGTCTTTTTTAATGTTCAGTGTTCATTTAGGCTGTAGTGTTGCATTTGACTGTGTGTATTTCATTTCACTTTTTCTAGTTTTTTTTGTTTAGGTCTCCAAGTTGACAGGTCCGTGGGGTGAAATGTTTACCAACACTTTTTTTGTGTGTGCATGTTAAAACATTTTTCATTCTGTGAAATGTATGTATTTTACAGTCTTTTGGGGCAGAGAGTTTTGGGCAGTGCTCTGTTTTTTAACATTCAGCATTAGCCAAACTTATTATCTTGTTGGCTTATTGCAGTGTGTACATGTATATCAGGAATTTTAAGACAGCAAACCATCAAAAATTGTAGTTTGTGCACAAATCAGTAAAACATTAAGGTTTCAGCCCGGGAGGGCATCACAGTTTCACTCATGAATCTGGAACTTTGCATCAGCATGAAAACCAAAAGCGTATCATAGTGCCTCGTAAAATAACAGAACAATTGAAAATCCAATTACAGTAATTCACCAAAAATGTGCTTTTTCCAGGGTTCAAATGAAATGTTTTGTATTGCATGGACTGTTTAAGTATCTGTGTACATGTACTTCCATGGTGCTTAGGACCAGCACAAGAATTTGCACATAAAAGAACCAGTAACATTTGAAATGCAAAGGTTTCTCCTAATTGTTATTGACACTTGGCATTCCCACACTGCAAGAGTGGGGCTACCAGTCACTTGCATTAACCGTAAGACTCACACATCTCAGGGTATTCTTGCTGCCAGTTCACACCCTGATGGGATTCCTCATTTTATAAAAAACAGCAGGAAAATAATTTCCTCCACACTTGAAAGTCCTGTCCTCGGTGAGCATTAGGAAGGTATTTGCTGGTAAACTTGAGAAGTCACATCAGTTGTCAGCGTCAAATTGAACGCAGTCATGAGTTCGCTTCGCAAGTGCTTGGAAAATAATTGAAGACATTTTTGTTTGTCATTGACAGCGGCAACTTAAATCTCTAACTCTCCCTCCCTACAGATTACAATGGCTTCGACCACACAGGCACCCAACAACTTGGAAATAACACAAATCATTTCCCCCGCTGCAGGGAAAAGTGCATCCGAGCAGCTTAGGCTAATTTCTAACCAACAAGCCAATCAGACAGAAGTCATTACTATTCAGGTAAAAATTTAAAAAACCACACACACTCACATACCGCGCTTACCTCCCATACTCAGTGTGGACATTTCTTTTTATTTTCAAAGCTGGATTTTTCTTTTGTATGGTTTCGTGGACTGAATCCCTTGCATGTGTGATAATAACCCTGAACCCTATCCCCAAAAGCCACTTCTTAGAGACGGGGAAATGTCTTGTTGATATGGGTATGTCCAGACAATGTCTTCCCTCCCAGCATCGTGCGAACACCTTTTGTTCATAAGTCCACACTAGGTATTTGAGGTTAGCGCACCCACACACACACCACTGCCATCTTTCCCAATCTGCAATGCACGAGCATGCACCGAGACGCATGTCTTGCTTTAAAGTTACTTGTTAATTTTCACATCTGCATGCAGAATGGTACATCAGCGGCATTTTAACCCTAAGAGAGCACAGCTTTTTTGGACCATCTAACAGCCAGGGGTGGACCCCCAAGAACTCGGCTGCCAAATGCTCAGTTCTTTTGAAACTTGGCAGGCATGCAAAGTGAAGTGTCTATGAAGTTTCTGTTCAATCTAACATTATGGCTTTGTTGTTACGGCTGATTAAAGTTCATGGCCTCACGTGTGCCAGCCCACATGCTTTGAGCATGTCGGTTGGAAGGTCTACATTTTGTACCTGATGTGTCTTAGAAAACGTGGTATTTAGAGATTATGGGTATGTCACATTTTGTTCACATTTTTCAGTATCAAAAAACATGAAGAAAGTCACAGGAACTTGGGATGATATCAGAGAAAAGTCAAGGGAGTGCAGCCCCAGGCTCTGTTACCTGGGCCAGCCAGGTTAATGAAGAAGTTCCCTTTCAAGGAAACTTAAGTAATTAAGTTCCCTGCAAATTAATAGTAATTTTATTGCAGTTTTTCATGGTTTCTCTCTGAGGAAAAGTGTGGCGTCATCCGGAGGAATAACCCACAGCCAGTTCAGTACTGAGAGTTGCCAGAATTGTCAGGGGTCTTGTCTTTCTTGGAGTGCGGCGAGCAGTGTTTCCCCAAAGACACAGTTCGATGAGCAAGTTCACAGTTTGAACAGAGTCCCCGCAACACACATATTCCTCAAATGGCATCGCATTAACAGTGCCCTCTAGTGTCAAGTAAACCATGGAAATGTTCTATTGTTTTAATGTACTTTTTCCCGACCCGTGATGTCAAATAGAAAGGAGAGTAGAAAGTTGTGTATGGCACTAATGGTCCCAAGTTCTCATATTTTTTACCGGAATAGGGTACGTCAGTAATGTTTAAGGTCAGGTCTGTAATCCAACTCCCAACATGCACGGTTTCATGCTGGGACTCGGTATGTCCATGTACGTGCTTTGCTTGCCCATACTTTTTGCAATAGGCACCACTGCTTTCAGGCTAACGCTGAACATGTGACTGACATGCTTTGCGGATATAGAATGGACCTCTTTGACACAACTCGCGAAAAATTTCTTGACCTTGCAAAACATTGGTGTAATTTATTCATTATTAAGTCACAAACGGCCTCTACCTGCAAGGCCGGTCTGTGTATGGGGATTTTAAAAAAATCTGTCCTTTTTTTAATGGTATTTAAATTGCTCCATTGGTGTATTCCAGCCTAGGGCTACAACAATTAATTCAAAAACTGCATAAAGAGGTCAGGGTAAGGCCAGGATACTTTTATTTTCAGTCCCGCTGAATTTGAAGGGGGGAGTCCCCAGGGACCAAGCCCCCCCCCCATTCCTCTCCTCTCCCAACAGCCAATCAATGACTCTGACACATCAGAGAGTGCCACTGGCCCGCCAGACATAGGACAAGCCCTGGCAAGCCTTGGCTTCAGCTGTGTAAATTTTCCCATGGGGCCACGTTGTGGTGTTGTTTATACACGTTCCCATGGGACGTGGCCAGAGCATGGAGCTGTTATTACACACAAGGAGTAGGACAAAGTCCCCGCAGACCTTAATCTGATCAACTGCTCCGGTCGGCTCCACAGGCAAGGCCCAGTTACCGACCCCAGTGTTGAAGACCCCAGACATTCTTTGTACACAATGATCGCCACTGCCAGGTACATGTAGCTGGTAACCCAAACACTTGCCGTGTTTCACTGCAGCATACTGGTGTAAATAAATGGTGGAAAAGATGCACGGAGAGGATGCGCAGTTCTCTTCCGTAGTCCTCAGGAGTCAGCGAGTGATCTCCGCAGATGCGCTCAAAAATTCCAAATCGGCGGTGGGTTATTTGGCAAAAGTCGGACGTTTTTAAAGTCAGCTATGACATTTTGCATTTTCGGCTGTAGAGAACAAATACCCAAAATATTGACTGCATTATTTATATCATAAGTCGCCCTCCTAGTGGTTCCTATGATTAAAAGAAGGTGGAAACATGCTGCAGAAAGGCATTTGACAACGTGGGGAGGTTTCATGCCGAGACAGTTGTGGACAATGACAGAAAGGACAATGAATCTTCCTTTTTTTGTGTGTGTTTATTTTCCTCTGGACAAGCTACATTCGCTCAGTTTTCTTGTGCACATTTTTTGGAGAGTTTGTTTTAGTTATTAATTCTGTATATTGTTAAGAGAGACGTTTTGGGGATGTAAAGATGTAACCAGACATTCATTGTCATTGGAATATCAGAACAATCACTAAAATTATTGAAATTTAAGTCTCTGATGACGATGGTTTCCGTCTCAAGGCGGCCATATTGAACATGTGGAAGTTTTACAGACACGCATGCGTGGTACCCATGATCCTTTGCAAATGCAACTTCAGGATCCAGTCCACTAATTCAAGCCCCATTGAAAACAGTGTAAAATCAGCACCGTTCAGGGCCCAATAGCATGCATGCCAACATCCCTGAGATTTCTGAAGTACAAATTAAATTCTTGTCTGGTCACTTATCTTTCAATTTCTTTTCAATTGTTTATGGTCTAACCAATTACATTTTTAACTATTCCCACAAAACAAAATCACCCCCC